GAAAACTCCTACCTATTTCAATAGGAATCTTTTGAATCTATATACATTTCAGTTTTATATAACAATTTTTTTTTACAAGTCTGGTGACTAAAAGCCTATTCTGTTGGTGTGAGGCAGATGCTGTGCTACCAGGGAGATGACAGGTCACCCCCGTGGGCATTCCCAACTTGGGTATCACAGCCTCTCTTCCTCCCTCCTACGCATTCATTAGATAGTCAAGGCTTCAGTACTTTGAGGCTGAAGTTACCTAGTTGTCTGAGCAGGCTGTATGAAAAAACTCAACACTCCTTCCAGGTTCACTGGCTTCTATCCTATTTCAAGTTCTCTATTTGTTCAAAGGAAAACTAAAATCCTTTTCACTTACGAGCTCAGAGCTCTGCAAACTTTTTCCCGAGCAAATGTTCCTCAAACTGTAGACATAAATATTGAGTGGGTTAAACAATAAAGTTGTAAACAACTTGGGCAAAGTTATCCTTGATGTATGCAGAACTATTTTAGGGGAGCAGTAAGTCTAAGAGCCTTAAGAGTTTGCCGCTGCAGTTTCCAAGCAAGATGACAGTTGTACTAAAAGTAAAAGCAAAATTTCTCAAAGTTGTGACTGATTCCCAGAATTTGCCCTTCAGTCACGATGCAATAGCTAGGTACTATCAAAAATTTCATAAAACATATTTTGGGTTACAAATGGCTTACTATTTCTGGTTGTTGGGTTGTTTTTTGTTTTTTTTACAAAGGCGCTATTTGGAGCCTGCTTGGATATTTTTGCATTTCTCCTTTTTGCCTCTCCAGGAAAATAAAATAGACATTATCGTGCTAAGATTCAGTGGTCTGGTACATGGAAATACTTCCTCTTTACTGCTGTCTGCTAAACAGTGTTGAACTAAACTTAGGTTGCCAGTTCCCTATCCTGCCTTAGTCTCTCATCTTGCACTGCATTTTGTAGTGTTTTGAACAAGTGTATTATTTTCCATAATTTGTCCATGGTTCTCCTCAGAAATTCATGAAAATAAATCAGAACAAGGACATTTGTTCCAATGCAAAATTCTGCAGTCTAGAAACATTGTTCCCTTTGCTTATCAGAACAAAGTAGATAAGAAAAGGGTTATTCAAAGTTCAGACTTTAAAACCAACTGGATTGGTGTTAAGTAGGATGTTGAAGCTACACACAGTGCTAGGGAGTGCACAGAATTACATTTGTAAATGTTGAGTAGATGTAATTTGGAATGGTGACACAAGGTATTTCAATACTTCACTAATATGTCATAGGTCTCCAAAATAACAAACTAAGCAAAAAAAGCAGGAACATGAGGAAAGGTACAAAATCCTTCTCACAGCTTTTTGTTTATGTGGGTCAGTTATGATGGCTTGAAGGCTTCGGTAAGCTATGCAGTGAAAAAAAAAAAGCAGCTTGTGTTGCAAAACCCTTTTTTTTTTTTTTTCCAAGTAGAAGAAAAACATTTTTCTTACTCCATCTGCAGCAGTTTGATTTGAACAATTTGTTGGGGTGTTTTTTTACTGCTTTCTGTAAAGTGGAAATTTTCTTTAAATAGTCCAGAAGGCAACTCTCCTGTTTTGTCTATTAGCAACTTCAAGAGCACAAAATGGATTTAGGAGTCCTTTTTTTTTAAATTAATGATGCATTTATATGATTCCCAATGGGAGGATAAATACCCACTAGAACTGTTGCTTAAAAACACAATCAGCACTTTATTTTAACCACACACAAAAGACTAAATACCTCCTGTGAACGCATAGAATCTCAGTTGCAAATTTAATAGTTATCATGCAAGAATAAGAAACATCTTGTTGAGGATAATAGACTAGAAAAAATTTTCTAACCTATGAGCTCTTTCTGCTCAGAACATCAGTCACTCACATGCTTATGGCTTCTTAAAAACTTTTAAACATGAGCATCAAGGCTGCCCCAAACACTTTGTTGAACTGGGTCTAAATTGGATTTTAACCTCTGTGATTTCCATAGTATTTTCTTTATCCTTGTATCAGTAGCACCAGCATTTAACAATATTAATCAGATAATTCCTGCTAGCTTAGCCTATACAATACTGCATTTGCAGTTCCTTGAGGTGCTTTATGAATTAGATGAATTGATAGAGCTCTTGGTATGAGCAGCAATTAACACGTATTCAGCCTGCATCTGAGTCACCCAATCACAGAATAATTCAGACTAGAAGGGTCCTCCAGAGGTTTCCGAGTCCATTCCCTTCTTCTAGATCAAGTCCCAAGTCAGATCAGTTTGCTCATGACATTGTCCAGTTTTTGGGTACTTCCAGTATTTTCATCTCCACCTCTTGAATACAAAAATGTCCTTTTTTTTTTAAAAAAAAAAAAGACTAATAAGACAACCTCACAAAACACTAAGAAGATAAGATACTTTTGGCCTTGGGTCTTTTTTTTTCCCTCTCCATTTGTTTTTCTTATGTATACTGAGGTAGCCTGGAGTCTTGGTTGTAATCCAGCTCAATGGTGAAAAGCAAATTTGACTTTCATTACAACAGCTTAAACAAAAAACTCAAGACTTAAAAGCAACTGAAATGGTATGCTCAAATAAACGCTTTAATGCACTCGAGCCTTAGTTTCCTTTCACTTTCACAACATCCAAAATGAATGCCTTGCATTTTTCCTTGTAATTTGATTGCCATTCTAATAGCAATTTTACCCAAAATACAGTGAGAAACAGAGGTGTTTTGCTCACCCCCAAGGTAAATGACTCTCTTCTTTCATGATCAGCTCACTGCATGACTTTGTTCCCCTCCTGTTTTATGTTCCTATTTTAAAACCTCACAACAACTAATTTAGACCGTGAATGTGTACTAGGAAATACAAGACTGGCACAGTATTATGGCTAAGCAACACACTAAATTCAGCCTTTTAACCAGAAGTATTTTCAATGTGGGAGAAAACAGAATCACTCCTGTATCAAAGGGTCTATGAATCACAAAAAATATACTGATTGCATAGGCTAGTATTGATTTATCACGAGGGTCTAGAAAAGCTTCCAAAAAACCTAAACAACCAACAAAACTTGGAAAAATTCTCAATCAACTTCACCATCAGAGTAGTTAATTAATATCTTAGAGAGTTAAAAAAAAAATTCTTAATCATATTCCTGCTTCCTGGAGGTTAGACTTAACCCTAAAACATAAATCACACCGATGCCAGAGTCTTTATACAGCAATACAGCTCCAAGTGGGATGGGAGCCTGTTCTCTCGAAGAGACAGAGGTTACACCTCCTGTGCCCTTTAGTGCAGAAGGCAGCTGCACGGCAGGAGGCAGCCCTGAGTAATCAGCATTGTATGTAGCTGGGTGCAGGTGCTACCTAGATTACAGCTTAGGCTGCAAAAAACTATCCCAAAGCAATAGCAACATGCACAAGATAGGAATGCTCCTGGAATTCACTTCACATGTTCCTCAAAGAACCAGGCTGATCCTTCTTTTTACTGTAACAGAAAGTTTAGACTCTTCTCACAGCTGCATGATGGTTTACCATTCTATACAACTGGACTGGTGAACAGAAAGTGCCTCGTATGTCATTGTGATTCAGACTCTGCTTAGCTGATTTAGATTTATAATTTCCCTTGATTGAAAAGATTCACCAAACCACAATATGGTAAGAAATTTTGAATACCAAATTTAGTGGTCATGTGCACTCTGAGGCACTTTGCTAAGTCCTCTGTCAAAGCATTTAAACCCAAAAGACCATGCCAGCGTGCCATGGGTTAATTGGCTAGCATGACCATGCCCTGGAGAGGTAGGCACATTGATCACTAAAGCTTTCACAACATGCTAACCTTGATAAGTGTCTCCAGGCTGAAGATCTATTCATTTTATCAATGTGTCTTCTGCTGAGTCAGAGTTTTTAACTTCTGAAGTACATTTGATATATGTGCCTGAACTCTTTAAATCTACCCTAGTGTCAGAAAAGAATGGTCTAAGCTCTGCTCAGTTCTCATGTTCTTAACTGTACTCATGTACTTCATCTCACAGTTCTCTTGTATATGCACAAGAAATTAGTAATACCCAGACCAGCTGAACTAGAATAATGAATCTGTCTTAATTCTTGCTTAATTTGATATCTTTAAAAAAAAGGTTTCAGAGATCTGATCAGTTCAGCTTAAAGCTGTATTACAATGAGTTTCTCTAAAGTTAATTGGTGAGACCTGAAGAAATCCCCAAGAGTATTCTCTGAGATTCCACTTGCATTAAGAGGAAAGAAAGATATATATTGAGCAACTGTACCTCTATTCTGAGTTCCTCCTCTATACAGCAATATTCAAAAAACTGCTTTGTTACCAGACCCTCAAGTTTTTTTCTAAGAGGTATACCTAAAGGACAAAGATGTTCCTGTGCAGAGGACCAGCAGTCACAAACTGTGTAACCTCCAGAAGACCCATTTCATAACACTGTCAAAGGACAGGAAATGGCTACAGTTAAAATAAGAATCAACATTTACAGAATGCATTAGTCAGGATTACCTTTGTTGTCACTTAAAACAGATCCAAAGGCACTGATCACCACATCAGCTTTCAGACGGACAACCTGATCCTCATCTTCTTTCCAGTTTCCGTCATTGTCCTGTTCAGTCCGAACAAATTCCATAGCAACAATTTGTCCACCTTTAAGAACAACTTTCCGAGGGGAGAGGAAAGGCAGAAATTCACACTTCTCTTCTTTTGCAAGTTCCATCTGTAGAGTAGAAGCAATAAAATACATAGCTTTAACTATGCTATTAATAGTTAACATTGTTAACCAAACAAACCAATCAGAAAATATTTTTTAACTCAAGATGTTACCATGTATTCTTCTGTAATACAAGTCAACTGTGTGCAGTATACAGACAGTCATCCTATTACCAGCTTTAGAGCCCCCCATGCTATTAAATCAAACAGTGGCACCAGGTAAATTTTCAAGGCAAATATTCCTCCAATATATTTTCTTATTTTTCCATTACTTTGAATATGTTTAACTCCTTTGAGGACGAAAGAGTTACCTCATGTAACTATCTTTATCTTTTAAGAAAAGGCCTAGTATTAATTTAGTACGTGCACTGATTTGTGTTTACTATGATTTTTAGATGTTATTAGATGCTGACCACCATGTGCAAACAACAGTTTTCTGGGTGACAATCCAGACTCAAGATCTTCTGAATCTCTGCCAAGTCAAATGGCATTTTGTTTTAGCAAAGTCTTCAGAATTTGATTGTCTATGTTTACACGACAACTTTTTTGAACACGTAATATCCAACCTGACATGATCCTAGCATGGCCATTGGTAGATGAAGCTACTTTTGTTTTACAGTTTTCAAGGCCACTGCATGATTGGATGAGTACAAACATTGAAAACCTTTAGGAATTTACCCAGGCTGCTATCAAAGAATTTGGTTCAGAGTGACAACTGATTTAGTAAGAATCTAAATAGCACAAGTCTGTCTGTAATCTCATTGTGCCTAGAACTCTTAAATAAAGTGTAACAGAAGTAAACTATGCACCAAGAGACCCTCTATCTATTAATTTTTTTACACCTCCATTCTCCTTCAATAAGATGTAAGGTGCCCACCTTCTTGAAACAGATGACCAAACTACCATAAATCTCATTATAAAGATGCATTAAATGTCTTGATATCCTCAAGTATGTAAAAACGTAATGTACCAAAGAAATTATAATGGAAAAAGACTAAAAACATAAGAAAATCAAATCTGAAAAAACCCTCCTGTAGTACAGATACATTGAAGAAGCAGAGTCAGTTTCAAAACCTGCAGATGACCTGATAAATGCCAAAGAGCAAAGCCAAACTAAAAATCAAATTGAATGCTGAAATCTGTGATGAATGACATTGTTTATTGCCATTGGCAGTGATTCAAAGCCAAAATCACTGTAAGTAATTTTCTTACAAGACTTTTTAGGCTGCCAAGGCAACATCAGATATGGAGATTTGTCAGACAGCAGACAATAAGTATCATTCTAGGATCTGACTATGACCTGAAGAGTCACCTACAATCCTCACATGGCTGTTTGATTCCAAGCTTTAAAATTTCTAATTTACAAGAAATTCTAGCCCTTGCTTGGAAATTCATGTCTCTGACTTTACAGGCAACAGACAGGAAAATTCTTTACATAGAGATTATACAAAGTGAGCCTCAGATCTTTAATAAACATTCATACCTTTTAAGAGCATTTGAATCAACAAAACATTTAGTAGATGTCTTTTAAGTACCTATAGCACATTTACATGCCCCATAGAAATAACAGCCAATATGCCTTCTCATAAATGCTGTTATTCAATTTTACCTCCTCTGGGACAGCCCTGATATGAGTGAATCCCTTCCTGAAGACCACGAACACACGACGAGCTCCACAGCGTAAAGCAGATGTTGCACAGTCAAAAGCAGTGTCTCCTGCCCCAAGTACAATCACAGTTCCATGTATTGATGGCAATGGAGAGTGACAGGCACACATCCCTGAAAGATAAAAGGAAAACCCCATTTTCAAGTAGAGAAACCATTTCTGCATGACAGCTCAAAAGGTACTTGTACTCAAAGCAGTGTAAAATTGCATCTTACAGTTTCCAAGCATGGAGTGTCGCTATCAAATTATTCTGCTCCACTGAAAGACAGTTTTATTCCCCTTTTTAAGATATGCTCATATACATAATTTCATAGTCAGTACTCTAAGCAGCTGCACCTTTCTATCAAGAAAGAATTCAAATGACAACATGTTTGTAGGATTGTGGGTCCTGTCAGGTTGAAACTAGTATTGTGAGATCTTTTTATTCAAAAAGTAAGGTCCTCTCTCATCAGATTCATTATCCTCCCAGTTAAAAAAGAGAAAAAAGACCAGTCTTTGATAGTTTTGCATATAGTGTATCAACATTAGATCCCTCAGTCAGTTTTCTATAAAGCACTGACACTGTTCTGGCTGTGACATGGTTCTCAGAGACTATTCTCTACGGCAGCTGAACATGAGGCAGAAAGAATATTGTTATTACAGTAATTCCTAGATCTTCCATTGGGAGAAACTGTTTACAGTGACTTTCTACAAATGATTTGCAAAAAGTTGCATGGAGAGAAAGACAACATTATATGTTTGTCATCTACAGCTTGTATACGATCATCCAATTATACAAGAAATACTTAAGCAAAACTGAACTGTGTCTGTTCCTCTGATGAGACTGCACTTTATCATAAGCTTAAATACCACTGATGATTAGGCAAATGGTTGCAACTTGAAAAATAATGAAACAAATAATAGATATTCTTAATGAGCCCATGACAATCACAGTCAGGAGGTGCTAAGCTGGCCATTTAACCATTGCACTGTAACTCAAGTATCCCGCTATGAACATGCATCGTGGAACACAAGTATTACTCAAGTAAACAATGCTTTTAATTTAGACATAAAAACAGAATGAGAAACAACATCCTAATACATATTGTCTCTTCATTAGTAAAATGCTTAATGTATGACAAATGCTATAATTTCCACCCCCACGTATATGGCATCACATTTACTATTTACTTAATAGGCTCCTTAGTCTAAAATTCTCTCTACACTTTTCTAATTTATTTGTAAAGAAATTAATCCTTCATATAAATTGTGCACTGAGCAGTGGAAAAAGCACAAGCGCACCAGGGGAATAGCAGTGCAGAGTGCCATTACAGTATGAGTCTAGAACAGAGCAGTTCTTGGTAACATGCTGCTCCCAAGGTAAATTCACATTCCTGTATTTGCAAGGGGAACCTCTTTTGGAAGAAAGTATATTAAGACGTGGTATTCAGAACTTAATAAGCAGGCAAAATATGTATGTTACTAAGAATAAGTCTATTTTGTCTATTATTTAGAGAACTGTCACAGTGATAAAAAAGAGGACAGAGTAGGATGTAGGATGTGTATATTTTACTTTGAAATTCCATGCCTTAGAGAGCAAGAGGTGGCAACAGCTACAGACAGGCACTAGGAAAACCAAGTAAAAGAGACCATGTTAATTAACAGACAACACCAAAGAGCTCTTTATTACTGTCAGTCAGAAAAGGTTAGTTCTTCCAAGTTCATTCTTTTTCTCACTATAGACTTAATACAAGAAAAAAACCAAAAAGTCATTACATATGCTAGCACAGCTAGAGTGCTACTTTGCAACGTTTTAAAAGATGCAGATCACAGTATATAGATCCTCATGCAGACAGGTGACTCACAGTACATGAATACTACATGTCCTCACAGAATTCTATAAAGTATATTTAGACAAATAGTTTCAAGAGAGGATTGTTTTGCAGGATTTATTTTTCCTTTGTTAATCTACAAATGTTTTGCAGTGCATATTCTCAATCTGTTTTATTTTTATACATCTCTTTCTTCAAAAAAACCCACAAAACCCACCCTTTTCTCCCAACTCATTGAAGCTCACTTTGGGCTTAAGAAAACAGACAGAAATAAGCATTTGATCAAAATAGCAGAGCTATGGGACAGATGGGATGCAGAATTTCCCTTCCTGAATATTTTGCATAAAATGGAGTAATAAACTTTACTTTTATAGGCAGAATAATTTTCTGCAGAAGATATATTCTTCAACAGTGCTTAAGGAAAGTCTACTAAATAAGCAGTCAGCCCAATATGATGCTAAAAGAAATTTCTGAATGATCAAGTGAAAATTTGTAGATTAAAAAAAAGCTACATTAAATATGTGTTCATACATAAAACATCACATTCTGTGTTAAGTATATGCCCAGAAAAACTGTACATTAATTTCTTTTTTATCAACACGCTGGGGAATCTAGACAATGAAGGAATGTAGCCTGGAAATCATACATCTGGGGCTTATGAGTTCACATTCAGGGACACTGAAAGCAGCTATGCTGTTTGGGGAGCAAATGCAGCCATCTCTGTACTCAAAACAAAAATGTAAAAGGATAAAACAAGACTGTATTTGATGCCTATGAACTAAGCATTGTCTTATCAACTTCTGCCATACTCCTGCTGCCCTGAGTCTTAGATTTCAAGTTCTTTGGGTAAGGAACAACAGCTGATTTAAATGTGTCTGTAAAACATGAAGCACATGACTTGGGATCAAGTGAAACAATTTATCAACAATATGCTAAGCAGGTGCTTATATAGGTCAGAAACACCTTTAATATCAGATTTTCTCAAGACCACCTTATACAAACTATTTATATAAATACAATTTATGCAAATGAGAAGCTTATGTCATTTTTTTACCACAATGTAATATAACAAATATAACTTATTAGGGATAATGATTTGTCATGTGTTTAGATTTTCATATATGACTATATGGCTTATACTTTCTAGGACTGACCTTCCTGACCATGCTCCTGAGCTTACAACTAACCAAGGGAAAACACTGTCCCAGACTTATTCACTGAGGTGCTTTGTAATTGGATGTGCTGCTGTATAATCAGGCAGTCTGATATATCAGTAACTGCTAATGATTTTCTGAATGTGATTAAAAAAAAAAAAAATCACACACCTGGTTTGCTGGCCATTGCTACCAAAGGTAAGAAGTCTTTAGATGTGTAAAATCCTTGATCCATTTTCAGTCCTTGGAATATATGGTCTCTGTTTGGTTCTGGCAAACCTAAAATAGATATTTTTATGACACATCAGAATTACACAGGAAATTTTAACTACAAATATATGTTGTGCATTACACTCACATTCTCAAAAACATCCTCAATACAAGCACTTTTACAAACCCTCAGATGTTTCCAAAAGAACATCACGAATTACTGTGGTTTCACATTTGTAGTCTGTACCACTTGAAAATTGGGTTGCTGGATAATGTGTGTACTCATATAACAGACCAAAACAAATGCAGAGGAAAGGATTAGAGAGAACAGGGTTCAAAAGCAGGGAGTCTACTGGTGAAGGGAAGACTCTTGCAAGCTTTTCTTCTATTGCTTTACCTACATGTAACTCTTAGTGCTGTGCAATGGTTTTGTTTCCTTTGTTTTGAGGCATTTTTCAATACAACTGGTCTGCAGGTAATACAAATGAGGCAATAATGAACAGCTTAACTGATGAGGGGAGGAGGACAAATGGCAGTGCTGTAGATTTGTCTTATCTGTGAGTATTTGTATGCCATCATTTTTTGCCATTTTTGATTGTTTTCTCAAAACCTTGAAGCCCTTATTGGCTGACATTTATTTCTAGTTATTAATAGCACACATTTAGACAGAAGCCGTAGGATACAGACGAGCATTCACTTCACAGTCATTAATAGCAACAAATACCTTTCAGTTAAAAGAAAGCAGCAGAAAGCATCTTCCAATTACCAAAGAACATCATCCCATTGCTGAGTGAACATTTGGACAGCACAAAGAGCCAGCCCAGCTGACACAGAAGTGAAACCACTTTTTTTCATGCAAAAGCAATGATCCATCAGGGTATTTTCAACAGAGTTTCAACTTTAATATTTACATCTAAACCCCCACAATATTAGCTAAACTAATGCTAATTAATAATTACATACTGAAAAGGAGTAAATGTCAACAATTTTTCTAAGAAAACACACTAGAACTGAGGAGTCCTCAGAGCAAGCTGGCAGAACTGGAGCATGCAAAGCAATCTGTGTTCCCTCCATTCTCAGGCATGGGTAGCAGCAGACTAATATTTCTCCTCTTTGAGACATACTGGTCTGGAAAACCCCAATAACACCATGTTAGTGTCAACAATAAAGCAGGATTTGAGGAGTGCTGTTCAAAGCAGGGAAGATTTTGGGTCTTTTTATGCTACTTAAGCTGCAAAAATCTGTCAGCATAAGATCAGAATTCAGTCATAAGAAAGCTTAGTACTTTTTCAAGAGTCACCTATATAGGGGAAGTCTCTTAAACCTCTAGATCCCTGAATGAAGTTACTATAATACAAGAAAAAAAGTATATTTTTAGATTTAACAGTTTCAGTGAAGCAAAAGAAAACATACTCTCAGCGAATTCAAAAGGCTTACAATCCAAAAAGCAAATAAAAAATCCCAAAATTTCTGTATTTCATAAATCTCATGTTATTGAGCACTTTCTTGATCTCTATTTATTAAAAAAATATCATGACTGGATTGCTGAACACCTGACTTTCAAACCACCACTAATCTATAGCTGGATATTGAGAAAAAGAAGGTTACAAAATAATAGCACGTACTGAACTTCAAGACCTTTGAATGCTGTACTTTCTGGGTAGACTGGAATATCAGCTAATGAAGAATGAATAATGGATATCTTAAGAGGCTGCCAGAAATGCTTAGTACTACTGAAAGTACAATATGTAAAATGCATTAAAGAAATTATTTTTAAAACTGCACAGATTTTCCTCTATGTATATATTGCAAAATCATCTATGGCAAGAAGAGTACCTCAGAAAAAGCTCTCGGTGATTGCCTACAGGCAGTGGGCAGAGTAATGCAGCTATTTCTATTGAGGTATCCATAAACCAGCTCTGAGGCCTCAGTTTACTCTTGGGAGAAACATTCATGTCATTAGTGAGATGTGCAGCCTGCATTAAAGATAATTTCCTTTCTACCTAACATCCATCTCCATTCAAACACAAGGAGAAATCCTCACAAATATTTTTCCACTTATTTTTGCAGCTTTTTTTCATCTCCTAATGAAAACTATTTCATCTCTAACAGCATCAGTAATTTAGCTCCCATAGGCTGAAGAAAGAGTATAATTAAGGAAATGCAGTGTTCATGGTTCAGGTGCATGACTAGTTTGGAATCACTGAAATAAAGGAAGTTGGATTAAGAATGCATTAGATTCAATAATTCTTAGCCTGGCTGATCTGACCAAATAAAAGCCAAAGAGGTAGTCAATATACATAGCATTCTCTGCTATTTATTCTACTATTTTCATTTTGCTGAAAACTCCATGAAAAACAATTTTGCGATATTTACATTTGAAGGAAATGCAGAGGATTTTTCTCTTATACCTATAAACACCTAGCACAGATGCAAGCTCTTTGCTAAGCACCTGCTGTAAGTTGTACTGGATTCTGATGCATCTCCTTTTGCTGTTTAGCATTTACCATTATAATGATTGCATTCAATTTTGTTAAAACAAAGAGATTGAGTCCTTCCTAAAGCCACTAGGCTAGCTAAGAAAGAGGCCAACCAGGGCAGACAGAGGAAGAGATCAAGAACAGATAAGATCAACTTTAGAGACAACATTTCATAATAAATGTCCACCCCACAGAAGTATGCTTTACAGAGAGATCAAATATTGATAAATAGCCAACAGCCTCTTGGGAGAGAAAATATTTAACAAAAAACCAGCAGTAGAGGAAAAATGTAGTTTTGAGGAAATGGTTTTAGAGAAGAAATAAAATTTAAAAAACCCAGTCATCTATGAAAGACACGAGTTAGGTCAAAATAATGAACCAAGAAAAATACCCTTTGAAGATAAATCAGAGATCCTTTAGCAAAAGGGAATTCACAGACTAGTGCAAAATAGCCAAGAGCCACCCAAGAAAAAATGCTTAGAAAAATAAGAGGTCTTTTCTCTAGGTTTCAGGCTGAAGCCAAGATAGTCAGTTCTCTGCTTTCCAAATCCACCTGCAAGCCATTTAAGAAGATGATTTTATTTATTACTTGGTATTTCTTGTGTTGAAACACTGTTTCATTATTCCACATCTCCTGTCTTTAAATAACCTGTATCGAAATCCAGTGAAAACAATTATTTCTTTCCCCTGCACTGAAGAACAACTCTTCTAGAGGGCACCAAGAGGAGTTAGCCTTGAAAGGCAACTCCCCTGGTGGTGCTTGGATGGACTCTGCACACACTTATACAAGCAGAGGGCTATGCCCAGCCCCAAGCCTTCTGCAGCCAAAGACTTCTTGAAGCCTCAGTCCCTTTACTTGCTGATGCCAGGGAACAAGTTTCTGAAGCAACTGATATCCAAACCACGCGACGAAGCCTCATGGGCTGTGCAAAACTGCATTTACTAAGAATAGAGAAAGTAGAAACATTGTGAAAATAACAGCTTGCATGACAGATCTAGTTCAGCTTTGCAAAAGCTAATCTAGACAGTCCCAATCTGGGTCAGGTACAGCGTATAAAGCAATTCATCTCAATTCCTGACCCTCTGGTTTGCCAGGCTCTGCCTTTCATTTCCAGATGCTCCAGCTATCTCTCAGTAAACAACACTACTCTCTTAGTATGAAATATTCTTTCCTTCTTTCCTTCATTTGATCCCCACAACCCCTTCCCCAGCATGCAAAACCTCATCATCAATGTCTCTCCCATGTCTGATGTAACACAATTTTCCTAAGTCATTAACCACTATAACAGTGGCTTTGGAAAGCCTCCCAACTTTATATGCTTTATGTATATATAAATATGTACAAGAATATATATATTAGAAAAAATATGCTTCCTATTAAGATCTTGTACTCTTTGTTCTCAAAATATTGATACATGTCAATTTTCTTAACTGACAATCTTAAGTCCATTGTCTGTATTTAAAGAGAATTTAGATACAATTCCCTAGTCTGGTTGAGATATGAGTTGCTAGATGATTAGAGTCAATTTGTCAGATATACAAGGCAATATACAAGAATGATGCATAGACAATGTAAGGTATTGGCATGCAGAGCAATGCACCTAGTCCACTTGGCTGCTGCACCAAACAAATCAAGGTATGTCAACACATCAATCAGTTATTACTGTAACTATAAGCCTGGTGTGGAAAGGAAAACTAAAGCAAAAGCATAGTCACAGCATATCTGTCTCTCCTATTTTGATCAAATCCTCTCTCCTCAGAAACAGGAATGCATTCTGAACCTTAACTTATTGTTTGGATTACTTAAATCTGACATGATTGGGCAGATTTGCAGTTTCAAATGAACTTCTCAACCAGTCTTAACAACTGACATACAAAATATGCCCTCATCCTTGGTAAGGGTAAAATGCAGTTTTCACTGGGAGCTGACTGAAAGCAAATCTCCAGACCAAAAAAAAAAAATGGAGCTGAAGTTGAAGTGTAAATATATAGTAGCCTACAGGGACAAAACTAACTAGAGCATTGCAAGGTTTTTCTGTATTTCCTCACATCAAACACTGAAAAGTTTGGTTTGTTTTATTTTTAATTGTAATGTTACTAAATTCTGGAAAAAGTTAAGCTGGGTCAGGTAAACAAATTAAGAGCTAGGATCTTTCAAGCAATACTCTCTCTCTTTGAATTATTAGGTGATGATTTCCTGACAAAAGAGAGTTTTCAAGATGAGAACTGGCTGAATTGCTTTTCCCAATCTCTTACTTTCAGGTAAAAATGTAAATTCCAATTGCTGAATGCAATCTGTGTTTTAAAATACCAAGAATTATTTGTTTAAAGCCAAAATGGTTTTTGACATTTTTTTATATTCAATATTTCAAAATGGCTTCAAAATAATATTCCATTTAGAAATTTATCCAAATCGAATCCAAAAGAAACAAATAAGATGGGACTGACTGGCAATGCACATCCCTTTTTCTACTTTTTAAAACTAGCAAACCTAAAACAACATTTAACCCCATTTAGCACTATATGGATTTTTTCATTTTGAAAAAACGTTCTCTTGCCATACAGGTATGGAGATAAAAAGTTAGAGGG